ATCAAGAGAATAATTTCCAGCACACTATTCACCACTTCCACATGCACTAATCACCATTGGTAGATCTGCCAACAGTTTTATGGGAGGCCCACCATCAAATAAAAAAGTATCCTCATTTTGCTTATCGGAATCTATAGATTTAATGGGTTGTTTTGAACTTTTGGAGAGCAAAGGGTTTAAACCACAACCTTATAAAAACTTTTTCTTTTTCTTTATAAAGAAATCGAACCAAACTGTAACCACTGCATCCGTCCAATCTAGATCTAGGGAAAACTCACCAAAGTTAATGTCATCTCCACCACCAAATGAAATCGAAATGGATAAAATTGACACCCATTCTAACATCAATAATATTAATGTTCCAACGGTATCCCCAAATAATTTATATGGTTTTTCTTTAGATAGACAACCAACAAACCCTACAAATCAATATCTACACCCAAATTTTTATCCACATCTTCAACATAATCAACAACATCAACAACACAACCAGTTTTATCCAGCTCCAAAGTCCCCAATTAATAGTGCCACTCCAAACTCTACACCTACATCACAATTAAAATTAGAAGAGTTTGAAAAGAACCACTCCCTCGTCGTCGTTTATGAATATGGTGTAGTTGTTAGCTGGGACTTACCACAACATCTTCAAGTTAGAACTTTAAATTTATTTGAAAATTTTCTCCACAATCCTCTATCAACTAAATTGGTCGATGAAATGACTTTTGAAAAAGGGATAGATGAAACATGTATTTTCAAGGATCAAATTTTCCTTTCTGACTATAATTATGACACAAAACTTTGCATCAGCCATTCTTTATCGCAATCGATTAGGGTCTCACTATTAGAAGAACATTTAAATAAAATTCTATATCTAACTAAAAATATTCCATCCCAACTTGTTAAAAAGGGTACAGTTGGTATTTCTCATCCTCAATTGGGTGTTGTAGTTGGAGGAGTTTTTAAAATTAAAAAATCCATTACAAAAAACTCGACACTCTTTAAATCTGTCACTTCAAAGTAAATATATAATAATATAATATTATTTCAATAATTATTCTATCTTAAAGTAAATTTACTAATAGTATTTATTTAAATTTTTAGTTATTTTAGTCAAAACCCAACTAATAAACAAGTTTACAATTTAACTTCAAATTACTTAGAAATTAAAGAACGATCCCACTCAATTAATAACAACATCTCGTCAATTAACGATATGGTTTCAGTTTGTAGATCAGAATTGGAAACTAAAAGTTCATATAGATTGGAAATGACTGTTATTATTCTCATCTTTTTTGAATTGTTATTTATGATTTTACAATTTATTTATTCAATTAAATAAATATACTTCAATAGAAAAAAAGAAATAAATAATAATTTGATAATCAAGGTTATTTTATAATATATACTTATCAAATTGATAAAATTTAAATTAAAAATAATGTAATAAATAAAAAAATTTAAAAAAATAAAAAAAAAAAAAGAAAGTGTAAATTATTTTATTTTTTCTCTCATATGTTTTTGTTAGCCGTCATGATAAACGATTTTTAGGATATAAATAGTAACTAAAATACTACTCTATTTCTAAGTTCATTAAAGTCGTTCAATAATTTTAGATTACGTAAATTAATTGTTGTAAATAAAAAAATACCATTTAAATAATTTTTATTAAAAAAAATTAAACATTTAAAGTTTTAAATTAATGAATATAATATCTATTTATTTAAAAAATAAAAAATTTATGTTTTTTTTTTTTTTTTTTTTCTTGAATATAAATAAAAAAAAAAAAAGAAAAAGGTTTGATGGACCAATATGGACATGACGGTATGACCTGCAATAACCAACTAAAATAGGACTGTGGTAGTTGAATTGGACGATGGTGATGATTTAAGATGCTTTGTACAATAGGATTGTGGTGGTGGTGAGATTGAGAGTAATCCTAACTCGGCGCCATGAACAATATCATTCTCTGTGAATGCTTGATTGAGAGTAATTGGATTATGTGTACGTGTTGGAGGTGTTAATGGTTCAATAACCATACATGGTGATGATGAACTATTGCTACTATTAAAAAATGGATTCTTTACATTTAAAGAATCTTGAACTAAAGTTGAATCGATTACATAGTTTTCAAAATAAAACAATTTGCTATTATATGTTGATTTTATATATAGTGAAGAGCTATCTTCATCGGAGGTTGTGGTGGATGAGTAGGTAATGTTATTAAATGTACAAGTGGTTTTATTATTATTTTCGAATTGAGCTCCTTGCAAACTTGATGTTAAGGAGTCAACTTTACTCGCTATTTTTATATTATTATCGTTATTGTTGCTATTTGATATATTACAGGTTTGTTTATAGTTTGATGGCGATGAAGGGTTTGATAATGATGGCGATACTATAGGTGTTATTGATGCTGTATTTGTTGTGTTAACTAATGAAGATGAGCCAACAACACTATTATTTACAATTTTAGGTTTAACTAAATTTGGTCTTACTATGCCTCCACTGCTGCTATTATTATTATTATTATTATTATTACTGTTTGTGCTATAATTATTTGCTGCTGATTCCAATTGCTCTAAAGGAGAAGAGGAGTCATTATCGTATGTATTAAGTGAATGTAAAATAATCGTTTGAATTTCATTTCCAGCTGCTTCGAATAAACTTTCTTCTACGAATTTCGAATTTGTTGAAGTTGATCTAGAATGTGAAGGTTTCCAAGGTTTAGGTGCAACAATTTTTTCAACTTTTATTATACTACAATCTGAAATATTAATACCATGGTCACCCATAAAAGTACGTGGTGAAAAAGATCTTGGCATTACTTTATTCATTATTTTATTATTATTATTATTATTATATTATAATTGTAACTACTATATTATTATATTATTTTATAAATACTATTATTATTTTATACTATTAATTTAACACACAAATATTTTTGAATTTTTTTTAAAAACTATTATATATGGATAAAAACACTTGAGAAAAATAAACAACACATAAAATAACTATTATATATGGATAAAAAAAAAATATTTACACACAAAAATAAAATAAATATAAAGTTTTAATAAATAAATTTTAATATTGGTTATATATCTAAAATAAAAAATAAAAAAATAAAGTTAATATTTAAATTTTTTTATATGTAAGAAAATATTTAATATGTTGTTAAAAAGTCTTTTTTCTTTTTAGTAATATAACAATATTGCTAAAATGCTTTAAAATATGAAAACGCATATTATTTAATTTATAATACCCACGATAAATGTGTTTATATTACAAAGCTGAAATGAATTAAAAAGAAAAAAAAAATAAAAAAAATAAAAACTTGTTTTATTTTTTTTTTTATTTTTTTTTAATTTTTTTTTAAACGATAATAGGGAAAATGCCTGAGAAAATTTTATACTGAGAAATTAAATATATATTATTTAATTTTATTATTTACAGAAATATACAAAAGAAAAAAAAAAAAATAGATATTTATTTATTTATATATAAAAATATTTATAATGTACAGGATATTAATTTGTTATTAAAAAAAAAAACAAAAAAAAAAAAAAAAAAAAAATTATATATTTACAAATACTATACAAAACATAAATTATTTAATGATATTACTATTATCTTTTATTAATTATATAATAGTTATTATTATTATTTACTATTATTATTATTATTATTAATGTTAATAATTTAATTTATAAATTAAAAAAATTTTAAATAATATTAATAAAAAAAAAAAAAATAAAATAAAATAATTTAAAAAATAAAAAAAATAGTTTTACTTTTATCATAAATTTAATTTTTTTCTTTTTTTTAATTTAAATTTAATTTAATTATAATATTATCACATTTCATTAACACAATAACAACACAATATAAAGTGGTATGTGTTTTGCATGATATTAAAGTTATTTGATATGAGTTTTTTTTAATTTTTTTGTTAGTATTTTTGTGTGTGTGTGTTTTTGGTGGGTCTGTAATATTTTTTTTTTATTTTGATTTATTACATTTGTTTTTTGTTTTTTTCAAAATAAAAATAAAATAATGTTTTATTTTAAGATCATAATTTCAATCCACACTAAAAACACAAACCTCATATAAACTTATCAAAAAAAAAGAATAACACCACACTCACATTCACACACTCTCAACCCACCAAATTCTTTTTTTATAATATATTAATTTTAACATATTATGATTGTTTATTATTATTATTATTATTTTTATTTTTATTATTATTTTGCTAAAATTTTGTTATTATTTTGTTATTGTAATAAAATTTTTTATAAAAAAAAAGAGAAGAAAGAAAAAAGAAATAAAAAAAGATATATTAGTTTTATTTTTAATCATTTTCATTTTTAAATTTTGATTTGTTTATATGTTATAAAACAAATAAAAATATTTCCCTATAAGGAACTAAAACTCGCTATATACACCCATTACATTTTTTTTTTTTTTTTTTTTTTTTTTTTTTTAATTAAATTTTGAAATTTTTTTTTTTATTTTTTTTAATTTTTTTTTTTTTTTTAATTTTTTTTTAATTTTTTTATTCATAAAATTTTTTTAAAGAGTCATTTTTTTTTATTTTATATTATCTAAATATTTTAATAAAAATGACAACACCAGTTTTAACTACATCAAATGGTGCTCCAGTAGACAATAATTTAAATTCAATGTCTGTTGGTAATCCAGGTCCACTCTTATTACAAGACTTTCATTTAATCGACAAACTTTCACACTTTGATCGTGAACGTATCCCAGAACGTGTTGTTCATGCTAAAGGTGCTGGTGCCCATGGTTATTTCGAAGTTACCAATCCAGATATTCCAAAATGGTGTAGAGCTAAATTTTTAAACAAAGTTGGTAAAAGAACTCCAATCTTTACCCGTTTCTCAACTGTTGGTGGTGAAAAGGGTTCATCTGACTCTGAAAGAGATCCAAGAGGTTTTGCTGTTAAATTCTACACTGAAGAAGGTAATTGGGATATGGTTGGTAATAACACTCCAGTTTTCTTTATTCGTGACCCAAGCAAATTCCCAGATTTCATTCACACACAGTAAGTATTTATTAATATTATATGTATATATTTTAATGTTTTAAAAAAATATTATTTTTCTTTTATTATTATTTTAAAATTCATAAAATTAATTTAATTTTTTTTTCACTCAAATAGAAAACGTAATCCACAAACCAATTGCAAAGATCCAAATATGTTCTGGGATTTCTTAGGTCTTACCCCAGAATCAACTCATCAAGTTATGATTTTATTCTCAGATAGAGGTACACCAAAATCATACCGTCACATGCATGGTTTCTCATCACATACATTAAAGATGGTCAATCAACAAAACAAAGCATCATGGGTTAAATTCCACTTTATCTCAGAAACCGGTATTCAAAACTTTACCGCTGAAGAAGCTGGCAAACTTTCATCAACTGACCCAGATTCAGCCACCAGAGATCTCTTTGAATCTATTTCAAAAGGTGTTGAACCAGCTTGGAAAGTTTCAATTCAAGTTATGGAACATGATGATGCCTTCAAATACCGTTTCGATCCATTCGATGTCACCAAGGTTTGGCCACACAAAGATTATCCATTAATCCCAATTGGTCGTATGGTATTAAACCGTAACCCAGAAAACTACTTTGCTGAAGTCGAACAAGCTGCATTCTCACCATCACACATGGTCCCAGGTATTGAACCATCATTCGATAAAATGCTCCAAGGTCGTCTCTTCTCATACCCAGATACCCATCGTCATCGTCTCGGTGTTAACTATCAACAAATCCCAATCAATTGCCCATACGCCGCCAGAGGTGGTGTTAAAAACTACCAACGTGATGGTTTCATGGCTGTTAATGGTAACGGTGGTAAAGGTCCAAACTACCAACCAAACTCATTCAATGGTCCAGAACCAAACCCAGAATTTACTCAACACAAATTCGAAATCAGCGGTGTTGGTGCTCGTCAACCATACACTCATCCAAATGATGATTTCATTCAACCAGGTAACTTATACAGACTCATGGATGAAGGTGCTAAATCACGTCTCGCTAGTAATTTAGTTGGTCACATGCAAGGTGTCACTGTTCGTGAAATCCTTCTTCGTGCCGTATCAAACTTCTATAAAGCCGATAAAGATTTAGGTGCCCGTCTCTGTAAAGGTCTTGGTATTGATGTCAACGATGTCGTTAAATTCACCACTAGATCAAACTTGTAAAAATTTAAATAAAACAACAACAACAATCACCACCACCACTTTTCAAACTTTATTTTTTTAGTAATATAAAAAAAAAAAAATAAAAAAAAATATATTAATTTTTTGTTACATTAAATATTTATTACCGATCTGATCAAAAAAACCCTTTTTCAGTTTTTTCTCAAAGTTGTTTTGTGTTTCACTTTACTGCTTTTTTAATTTTATTTCACTTCATTTCTTGTTTTATATTCACTCCACCCTTTTTAAAAAATTTAAAAAAAATATTAATTGTTATAGAAAAAATCTTTTTGGATGATCTGAAAGTGTTGTGTTTTTTCCGCAATAATTTGTGTTTATATAACACAAATTATCTAAAATTAAAAGAAAATAAAAAAATATTATTTAATTAAATAAAATTTTTTTTTTTATTTTCTTTAATTTTTTTTTTTAATTTTTTATAAAATTTTTTTTTTTTTTTTTAAATTTTTAAAAAATTCCTAATAAAACACACAAATATATAATATAAAATATGGGTAATAAACAATCACAAACAAAACAACAAAAACAACCAAAGAAATTTAGTATGTAGAAATATGGTAAAATTTTTTTTATATATAAAAATATTTTTATATTAATTTTAAATCATTTCCGATTTTTTATCACATCGAAATATTTTCTAAAAATAGAAATTGATAATGACCAAATTAAAAAGCTTCAAGAATCTACCAATTGTAAGTTTATTGTTTAAATAATGTAATAATATCATTAATTTTAAATTTACTAATTTTTTTTTTTTTTTCTATTTTTAATTTTATTTCATTAATTGTTTTTAATTATAGTTGACAAAGTAGAAGCCAAAAAATTATTTGAAGTTTTCTCAGAGCTTTCAAATGGCGGTAAGGTTCCATTAAACAGACAACAATTCAAAGATGGTTTATCCAAATTAGAACAATGTGGTTTAAAGAATCTCGATAATACACCTTTTGGTGATAGATTATTTGACCTTTTAGATACCAACAAAGATGGTAGTGTAGATTTACAAGAGTTTATTAGTGGCTTATCAATTTTATGTAAAGGTTCCGTTGAGGAAAAACTTGAATGTAAGAAAAACATTAGAGATATTTAAAATGGTTTAAATGTTATAATATTTATGTTAACTTTTTTTTATATATTAAATTGTAGTATCATTCAAGGCTTACGATTTAGACGGAAATGGTTATATTACAAAGAGTGAATTATCACAAATGTTCCAACAAGCTTGGATTTCAGGTTTCAAAGCACTTTCATATCAAACTAATGAAGAAGTTAATAAAGATGATTTAAATAACTTCTCTGAAGAAATGGCTCAAATTTTTGCAGATGGTGCTTTTTCATCATTAGATGTCAATGGTAATATATTCAATATAAAATATACTATAATAAAACAACAATAATAATCACAGTGGCAATTAAATAATTAACAAAATTAGCAACAAATAATAATAATAATAATAATAATAATAATAATAATAATAATAATAATAATAATAACTCAATGACTTTTATTAATATTTTTTTTTTTTTAATTTGTAGGTGATGGTAAATTATCATTCAATGAATTCAAGCAATTTGCAATGTCACATCCAAAAATTACAGCAACTCTTAATGGTTCAAAGAAAGATGTTCCAATTACTTTTGATTAAAATAATTTTTTAGATTAACAAAAAAAAAAAAAAAAATTATTAAATAACAATTTCGATGTAATATTATTTGTTTTTTTATATTCAAAAAAAAATAAAAATAAAAAAAAATAAAAAAAAAATATAAAATATAATATATTTGGACCATTTTCTTTTTTTTTATTATTAATTGTATATTTTATAGAAATATATATTATTTATTTAAAAGAATTTAAATATTTAACTTTTTTTTTATTTTATTTTTTTAAAATTTTTTTAATTTTTTTTTATAAATTAAATTTTTCTTTTTTTTTAACTTTTCAATTTTTTTATTTTTATTATCTCTCGTTCGAAACATTGTTTTAATTTATATTATATGTTTTTTTAATTATATATATACATTCATTATTTTAAAAGTTAAATAATGAGCAAGTGGGGATTAAATTTTGATATCTCTAATATTACAGCAGCTACAAGTAATTTAGGCAAAGTTATAAAGAATGTTGAAAAATCAATAGATAGAGCAGTCGGTATACCAGATGAACCAGAGGATGGGTCAAGTGGTAACAATAGTAGTGCAAATACATCGTTTGCTGATGGTAGTTTCTTTGGCTATTCATTTTCATCACCATCTACTCCAGTAAAACAACAGCCACAAACACCACAAAAAACAAAGGAGGATTTAAAGGCACCAACAAATGACAACAATACGAATACTACAGCTGCAACAACAACGACAACAACAACAGCTACTACAATATCAACACCAATAACAGCTCATAATATTTCAACAATAAATCTTACACCAATAAAACCAACCCAATCATTAAATAGTAGTTTAATTAGTGATGTCTCACCAACTAAATCTGTTCAGTCTAAAGATAGTTCTCCAATTAAATCAATTAAGGTACCAGAGGGACCTATATTTATTAAATCTGAAGATAATGATGATGAAGAGGATAATGAGGGGCCACTATATGATATAAAGGATGAAGAAGAGGAAGAAAAGGGGGAAGAGAAGTTCGAATCTAACGATAGAGTTGAATCAATGCAGGAAGGTACTATTGAAGAAAATACCACAGAAGCATATAGCGACGAAAAGATAATGGAGCAGCAATTGGTTACTGCTGATATAAATAATGTTACAGAAAATATAGTTGTTCAAGATAATCAAAGTATAGATTTAATTGACGAAAGTATTAATTCTCAAAAAGAGACTAAAAAAGAATCCATACAACAAATAGAAGAAGAGTCAGTTGATCAAGAACCAATAGAAATCCAAAAAGAAATTATACAAGAAAATAATATAGACCATTATAATGATGATAATAATATAGAAAATACTATAGAAAATACTATAGAAAATACTATAGAAAATACTATAGAAAATAATACTATAGATAGTAATTTAAACAATAATATAGATATCAACGATAATGACAGTAATAATGATGGCAATAATGATAGTAGCAATGATAATAATAATAATAATGATCATAATAATTTTTTAAATAATGATAATAATGGTAATAATATAGATATTAATAATAAATTTTTAGAATTAGAAAATAAATTTAATATTTTGACAATAGTAAATAATGAACAAAAAAGAATTTTGTTAGAAAAAGAAAAAATGATTAGTGACTTGACAAATAATACTTTAAAGCTTACAAAGATAAATGACCAATTATTAGAAGATGTCAATAGATTAAATACAGATTCAAAAAAAGAAAGCTTGGAAAATTTAAAAGAAGAGTTCAGTAGAAGATTGGGTCAGATAGAGAAAAAGCTAATATCAGTAACAAAAGAAAGAGATTCATTAAAGAGTGGTTCACAGTTTTCAGACTCGGTTCAAGAGACTATGAAGGAAAAGGATGAAAGGATAAACCAAATTTTAAGCGAGGGTACAGCTCTTAGTCTTAAAATATCACAGTTAGAACAAACCAATAAAAAGTACAAGCAAACGCTAAAAGAAAATGAAGACACAATCAAGATGTTAAATGATAGAATTAATAATACTGAACAGTTGCTTTTGGTTAGATCAGAAAAATTAAAAGCATTCGAAGAGAGCGATAAGAGATATCAAGATACTATTAATACTATGAAAGAGGTTACCGATACAGCATCAAAGAAATCTGATCAACGTGAGCTTGAGGCCGAGAAAGCAGTTAGACAAGCTACTGATTTACAAGCTGCTTTGGAAAAGTCATGGAAAGATATATCCGATCTTAATAAACATCACTCAATTGAAATTGATCGTTACTCTAAACAAATCGAAGAAGAAAGAGTTAGAGTTAAAAACGAGTGTCAAATGATCTATAATCAAGAAAAAAAGGACTATGCCGAAAAGATTGAGCATTTAGAAACTATTATTCAAGAATTAAGATCAACTCTAAATAGAAATAATGAAAAAGCATCATGGAAGGAAGAGGAACATAATAAAGAGATTGGGCATCTTCAACAAAGATGTAGAGATGCAGAGGTTAGAAATGATCAATTGAGCTCATCAATTCCTCAAGCTACCCGTCCATTGTTAAAGCAGATCGAGTCAATGCAGGAGCAGTTTAATGAGCGTCAATTAACATGGGAAGCATTAGAAAAGAATCTAAATCAACAAATCCGTGAAGAGCGTTTAAAGGCCGAGCAGGTGCTTAGAGATCAACAAGAAATCATTAATGAACTGGAGGAATTAACATTGAAATTTAAACTATTAGAAACCGAAAGTAAAAACGATAAAAAGAAATTAAAGACATTAGCTAGGGATATTGAGACACTAAAATCAACTCAACAAGATGACCAACAAAAGATTCAGGATCTTGAAGCTACACTTCAAGAGTTTAAGGATAAATTAAAAAATTCAGAGTCAACATTAAATGAAAGTGAATCAAAGATTAATGGTTTAAATAAAGAGATTAGGGATTTAGAAGAAAGAAGACAAAGAGAAAAAGAATTTTATGAAAAAGAGTCACTAAACTTTAATAAAAAATATCAACAGCTTTTAATTCAACAACAATTACAACCATCACCCCCACAGTCTAATGGTAATAGTATCAATGCTTCACAAGAGTTATCAAATCCTTTAGCAAATAGTATTGGTTATGATAAAAATACAACTCCTATTTCAACTCCATCAAAATCAAGCTTTTATGGCGGTTTGAAGAAAACTCCAAGTACCCATGACTTTTTAAATAACGCTTCCTTCCCAGCTTCATTAGAATTTTTACAAGCAACATTATCTCAAAAAGAAGGTGAGGTAGCATCATTACAACATCAAATCCAGTCATTAGATTCCTCAAGGAGTATGTATAAAAATATATTTTTTTTTTTAAATATTTATAATAATAATATTAATATTTTATCTTTTTAATTTAGAAAAACTTGAAAACGAATTGGTTAAGTTAACGACTTATAACGAGGAATTATTAGCAGAATGCAAAGATTTAAAACAACAAAAACAGGATATTAAAGATTTAGAAACAAGATACCAAACATCATTGGTTTTATTGGGCGAAAAAGAAGAATCCGTAAACGAATTAAGAATGGATATTATGGATATGAAAGATTTATATAAAAACCAAATTAATGAATTACTATTACAAATAGATTCATTAAAATCGAAACCAATCTAATTAATAAAAAAAATGTAAAATTACTTAATAATTTAAAAAAAACTTTATTTATATAAATTATTATACAAATGGTCTTCTTGAACCTTGTTTAATTTGTTTTAGTTTTTTTTCATGTTCATGGTTATTGGCTTTTTCATAGTTTAGTTTTTTTTCTTCACTAATTTCTTTTTTAAAAATATTATTATTATTATTATTATTTACATTATTTGTTGAGGTTTTATTATTATTATTATTATTTGGAAAGTAATTATAATTATTATTTTCGTCAAATTTGATTATAAAGTCTGATTTGTTGTTTTGATTATTTTTATCTTTATATTTAAAATTACCTGTTAAATTATTCTTTGACCAATCATAAAAACTAGATTCGTTCTTTAAATTTAAATAAAGTGTTTCCGCTAATTTCAAACCTAACCAAGCATCTATAGCTGCATATTTATGTTGATGTAATCTTTCAAGGGTGAACTTGATCCACTCATCTTTAGTTTTTGGGTGAGTTTGATAAACTCTATTAAATTTATATTTTTCTGAACGGAGTAAATCTATTGCTAATATGTCAAGTGTTAAATAATTCTTTGTTAAACCGTTTCTGAATGATAAGCAGGCAACATCTAAAGCTGAATTGCACTTTAATTCTTTGTTAATTTGTTCGATGGATTCAAAATCGTTTTTTATACCGACACCTGCTTTGATTGTAAGTTTTTCGTTTAAGAGTTGCTTGAGTGGTTCTGTGAGTTTTCCGATTGCTTTAATATATATAACAGCTGATACAGTTTTGGTTGAAATTTGAATAGAGTAAGGGATATGACCTTCAGTATCAAAACCTACAACAAATCTTTTTAAACTGGGTTTGCCTGGAACCTTAAATTCGTGATGATATATGGTTGGTAAAAGCTCTAATATTTTATTACATTCTTCTTCTGTAAATATTACTAAAATGACTGGTGTTTCATCGACATTATTTGGCCAGATAATATTAGAAAATTCTTTAATATCCTCTAACCATGTATATTTCTTAAAATTTATTTTATTCATAATTTCTTTATCATTATATTTTAATTCTTCATTTACAATTTCTTTTTCGATTTCAATAGGTTCAGTATTTTCATTATTTTCTCTAGGTTCATTAATTCCATTAACTTGATTATTTTGTTTAGGTTCTAGTTTGTCATCCCATAGAGTTTTCTTCATCATTGATTTCTTTTTTGTCTTTTTTATCTGTTTGATGCTCTTGATCTTTCTTTTCTTTCGTAGGTTCCTTATCTTTTTTTTCTTGTATATCTTTTTTATCTTTCTTATCTTTTTTATCTTTTATATTTTCCTTATCTTTTTTATCTTTTTTTTCTAATTTTTCTTTTTTTTCAATTTGATCTTTCTTATCTTTCTTTTCTTTCTTTTCTGTTTTAATTCTTTTTAATTCTTTTTTACTATCTTCATCCCCAGATATCTCATCTTTTGATCTTTTTTTTGTTTTGTTATCTGTCATTTTATAATAAACTGTAAAAATATAAATTAAAAAAAAAAAAAAATTTAAAAAACGAAAAAAAAAAAATTTAAAAAATAAAAATTAAAAACTATGAAAAAAATTTATGGTTAATAAAAACTTGCAAAGTTTATTTAAATTTTATTTAATTTTTTTTCTTTTTTTTTTTAGATTCATTACCAGAATCATTGTTTTCATCATTAGAATTATTTCTTTTTTTATTTGTCCAAGTATTAATGTTACTTTCTGCTTTGCTTATTTCCAAAGCCAATGCTAATTCATAATCGTCATATTCTTCAGAATTTTCGAAATTAGCTGTACTGTTGGTATTTGATGTTGTAGTGGTTGTTTTTTTATATGGGTTGTCTATTTCAGTTGTTGTAGTAGTTGTGGTGGTTGTTATATCATCTTTATTTTTATTTTCTCCGGTGTAGTCCTGCGCACTTAGTTGTAAAGCTAATGCCAGTTCGTAATCTTCATCATGTTCAGGCATTGAAAGGGATAGTGCCAATTGAAGTTCTCTTTCTTCATCATTAATATTGTCATCACTGTCATTATTTTTATTTTTATCATTTTTATTTTTATTGTTTTCTTTTTTTTTATTTGCTCTTGTTGTTGTTTTTGTGTTTGGAAGTTTATTATTATTTGCACTTTCTTTTTTTGAATAAGTGATAAGATAATCTGGATAAGATCTATTATTTTCTTTTAAAACATATATACCATCTTTTTTTATACTATCTTGACATTCTATTAAATCTTGATTTGAGACATTGGAACCATTTCCTAAAATTACTCTACATAAAAAGAATTGAAATTGGCCATTTGGGAGCTCATGACTAAATGAAAGAGAATTACTTGCATTTTCTGAAAAGTACAAACCAACGCCAAATGAACCATCACTTGAATTTTTAATATCGAAACCTATATCATTCTTATATACCATAGTCGGATCATTCCCTCTTGTTCCGTGAAATAATGTTGATTCGAGAAAGTTTTCATTTACATTATTATATTTAGTTTTGTAATCTTCTAATGAGCTATAGTAGCTCCTCCAAATTGATTTGTTTTGTACTCTTTCAATTTTTTCAATTTTAAAATCATTACTTAATGTTTCATCAAATCTTTCTTTTACTTGACTATATTCTGAATCTTCTTTATTAATTTCTACAAGTGAAACCTCTTCAGTCGTTTCTTTCCATTTTGTTGGGTAAATTCCTCTTTGAAACATATTCTATTTTAATAAATTTTATTTTTTTAATAATTACTATTACTATTACAAATACTATTACTATTACTATTCTATTACTATTATTATTTTTAATAATATTACTATTACTATTTTTTAATATGATGTATTTATTATATTTATTGTTTTATTATATATTATTTATTATGTATATTGATTTAATTAAAGTAAACAATTTTTTATTATTTAATTATTAGTATTTTGTCTTTTTAGATATGAAAGAATAGATTTTTTATTGTGTATTTAAAAAAAAAAATAAAGGGGTAAAATTTTTTGAAATAAGAAAAAATTAATGAAATTAAAAAAAATAAAAATAAAAAAAATAAATAGATATGATATTAATATGATTTAAAAAAAAGAAAAAAACTGATACACTTTTTAAAATTTTTTAAATAATTTTTTTTATTATTATTTATAAATAAAATTTTATTAATATTATTATTATTATAATTATTATTTTTATTAAGGTTCCCTTAGGTTTAAAATTGCACGAGGGAATAAATTTAAATCTAAAAGTGTTTTTGAATTATCTGATAAAGTTTCTTTTGGGAAATTGGTGACCATTTCATATGTGGTTATATCAATAGAGGAGTTTGATTCCGTTAAGTAAATATCAATCCAGTCCCGAATTGATTGAAGGGTATTATTTACAAAAAATTTTCTACTGATTCTTACACCATCTGGAGGTAATGATATGATAACTTCACATATTTTAATTGGAGATTGTTTAATTTGTTCGGGTGATAAGCCGATAGTTGGGTCGTCTGGTAAACGAGTCTTTTTTAATTGAAGCTGATTTTGTTTTTCCATTTCGATTGAAAGTTTCATAGCTTCTTCTAATTGCTGTTTTTCCTCTTCCTCCTCTTTCTTTTTTCTATCTTGTCTAAGTGATTCGTTAAATTCTCTTTCTTGCTCTTCTCTAATTCTTCTCGATTCTTTAATCATATGCTTCTCCTCTAATCTTCTACTATCTCTTTGTGATAGATATTGATGTGCATCTGGATTATTTTCATAAAACAATTCTTCATTTTCATCTGAATTACTGCTATCATTACTAATATTTATATTTTTATTTCTATAGTTATTTCTATTGGTATTTATATTATTATTAAATTGATCTCCGCTATATACATTGCTTTGTTGAGGCTGATTGTTTGATGTTCTAGTAGTTGATGATGATGATGATGAGTAATAATCTTTAATTTCATCAGTTGGTGAGTCAAATCTAACTTTTCTTCTTTGTTGATTGCTACTATTATTGTTTGTTGGTGATGTTGACATTGGTGGTTGCATTTGGGATGGATGTGAGTATGAGTTTGAATGTTGGTGATGGTGGTAATTTGGTTTATTAGTCGCAGGACTATTATTTTTTGATGTTGGTAATGATGCTGATTTTTTTGGTGTTAGGTTTGTTGGTTTTGATTGTCTAGATGAAGTGGTTGATTGTTTTGTTGTTGATGATGATGTTGATGTTGTAGTTGTTGATAATCTTAAAGATTCATTTATTGCTCTCTGTAATGCTTCGTCTTCATCAATATCTTGATAGTCTGAATAGTTTCTCATTGAACCATTGCTACTAACTGGTGAGCTAGCATCCTCTTCATCGCTTTCTTCATATTCATCGCCGTCATCTTCATATTCATCATCTTCGTATTCTTCATCATCTTGAATAAATGCTCCCATTTCCATTTGTTGTTTTCTTAGTTGTGTTTGCTCGTATACGTCTTGGGGTCTCATATGTCCCAAGGGTGTTCTTGGTACACCAATAATATTATGCATAAAATCTTTACTTAAAAATGGTACATAGTTTCCAAAATGACCACCACTTTCTCTATTTACATTGGATGCAGCCAAACCACCCATTGCCATATTTTCAACTACACCGTTGGGGTATGGGCTTGCTGCTTTTTTACTGGTTGGACTACTTGGTGAACCAGTTGGTGATGTGCCAGTAGCTGGGGCTGTTGTAGTTGTTGTTGTATTATTGTTAATGGTGTTTATTGAATTAATTTTTGTTCTACTGCCATTATTGTTATTACCATTTGTTGAGTTTAATGCAGGTGATTTTAAATCATTAATTGTTGTTGGTTGTGAGGGTGGTTTTTTTGCTACAACTATACCATCATCGTCATAATAGTCTTGTGATGCTGAACCAGTAACATTTGAATTTCTATTGCTACTTCTTGATGAACGATTTCCATTACTACGAGTATTACTTTTATTTATACCACCAATACTTCTACCATTGCTGTTTGAATTAATATTGTTTCTATTCATATTATTCCTTTATATTATATATTTAATTTGTAATACTATTATATATTTATATTATTATATTTGATAAAGTATATTATTTATATTATTATGTGATTAAAATTTTTTTTGTATATTATATTATACTATATTTATATTTTATATTTTATATTATTATTATATTTGATAATGACGTATTATTATAATTTATATTATATAATTTATTAATTGTAATTTATATGCATTTGCCTTTTGAAAAAAAAAAAACCTGTAGTTATTATTGTTTAAACAAAATATATACCAAACGAAATAAAAATTATAAATATCAATTTAATATTTATAAATTTAAATTAGATCATAAATAAATTAATATAAAATAGAAAAATTAGAAAAATTATAATTTAAAAAAATAAGAAAAAAAATATAATTTAAAAAAAAAATAAAAAAAATAAAAAAAAATAAAAAAATTAAAATTGAAATTATTTAAAAATAAATATATATATTATTTATATAAATATATAAAAACACACTCCCACACATACACACACACAAATATTATTTAATCATTTATAAAAATGGTTTATTTATTTTTTATGTCAAAATAAATAATTATAAGTGTAAGGGGTATAAATAATAATAATAATTAATATTATTATTTTTAATATTACTGTTATTACTATTATTATTTTTGACAATAATTATTTTAAAAAAAAAAAAAATGATTGATACAACTATACAATATCAATCATTAAATTAATGATATTATATTGTAAATTATTAAATTTTAATATTTTATTTGGATATTTTTATAAAGATATTTTTTTTTTTGTTTATGTGTAAATGAAAAGGGGATGTGTATAATCTGGGAGTTTATTGTTACTATTAACTCAATAAATATTCAATAATAAAATAGACATATATGAGTGGCTGAAGGGTAGTTTATTGTAGATAAACACACCAAAAAAATTTAAAATTAAGAATGAAGTAAAATTGAATTTTCTATTTAATAATATAAAATTAAAAATAGTTTTAAAATCTATTAATAAAAAAAAAATAAAAATGATTTTATTTTTTTTTTTTATAGATTCTAAAATGAGTTTTTGATGACGTTTTTTAAATATAAATTATTTATTTATTTAAAGTAGGTGGTGGTATTATATATTTGAATGATTAGTTTTATAAATATATTGTCATTTTTATTATTATTATTATTATTATTATTATTATTATTATTATTATTATTATTATTATTATTATTGATTAATATAAATGTTATTATTTTTTTATTCTTGATTATTATTTGATGTATTTAAAGCTTGATCAATTAATTCTGGTTCTGATTTCCAAGTATTCTTTTTATGAATTTTAATTATTTTATCTTTTTTTTGGTCAATTATTATTAGGCTGTAGATTGATTTAATTAATGGAGTAAGAGAGAGAGCAATATAAAAGATTTCACCTTCGTGTATATGTAAGTTTGGAGGAATTCCAAATACCCAAAGACTGCAGGCTACAAGGCACCAAGCCAATACTATGATAAAGTTTAATGTTAACAATACCTCTGGGATGAATGATGGAAGGAATTTAAGGTCTAACTTGAGTAAGCTAAGTGAATCTGGGTCGAATGCATTGTTTGATGTATTTACAGCGGCTCTAGCGATGGCTGATCCAGCAGATGACTTTTTAGAAAGATCTTTATTACTTGGATACTCGTGGAAAATAGAGTAGACATAGCTAGCGATCATTAGGGTATGGTATATGGTTGATCCGATAATAATGGTCCATAAGAATGATACAAATTTCATTTCGTTTGTACTGAGACCACCATCAGCATTGTCGTGTAATGCCAATGATTCTATTGGTAAATGATAAAAGAAATTGACTATACGAATTACAATTCCAGCACTACCTAAAAATAATTCTCTAATGGGTGCTAGTGTACCTAATTCTGACATTGTTACGGATATACGATTGACGCAATAGAATGTATCCTCACGACCGTTGGCCTGTGTACCAATGAGAACTGTTTGGACAATGTACAAGAGTACCATCGAGCAGAGTACCATAGTAATTAATGGGATAACTATTATAGTTAAAAGAGAGTGAATTATTTGAAGGGTAATGTTTGATTTGATAATGATCTCTTTCTCGGATAGACGGGCAGCAATTAACCATGAAACAAACAATGTAATACCAAAGAGAATGCATGATCCAAAAATCTTTAAATTTTTTAACTCTTGCATTGATGTGAACTCTTTTGGAATATTTTGATCTGTGCTCGGGTTTGAAATTGGGTTAAAATTGTAATTTGAACAAAGGAAATTTGAGGTACCCAATATTGAGAAACGACGCCAATTATCTTTAAATGCGGTTAGCTTTATGGAGTAAGGGTCAAAGCTTTCTTTATCGATATCTTTTGATGATGCTTGTATAGATGGCCCAGATGGTGACAGATTAATGTGTTTTAGATGTGGCAATGGCAAATAGAAAATAATAGCGACCAAAGAAAATAGAATTAACAATGAGATGATAATTCTGATCCATTGATGCTGTATTTTAGTATGAATACCAAATGACAAAAAGTGGTATGATTTCTCTGCTAGTGAAGGATGACGGCGAATTTCACCTGATAATTGTTCTAGTTGTTGTTCGGTATACAGTTCAGTTTGCATATAATATTCTCCTGGTGATATTTGTTGGCATCTTGACTCTTGGTACATGTCACTCCATGATTCTTCACCCATTTGTTCTGTAATCTGTTTTGATGTTTTACCTCCTGATAGTGTTTTGCTTGATCTTTTGCCTTTTTCGGTTGGTGGAATATAAAACTTTTCCTCTGGTTCAACACTACTAGTAGTACCATTATCTTCTTCTGTATCATAGATTATGCTATCATCTTCCTCTTCATTTTCATCTATTTCCTCTTCTTCCTCTAAAGATACATCTATTTCTTCTTGTTCTTCCTCTTCAATTTGCTTTTTACTTTTTCTTCCAACCCTCTTTGAAGGTGTTGCTGCTGCTTTTTTTGCCATTTTTTTTATTTTTATTTTTTTTAAAAATAAAAAAATTAATTAATTTTTTTTTTGTTTAATTTTTATTTTTTTTTTAAATTTTTATTAAATAAATCTAGGTAAAAATCGATATTTGGAAAGATCGTGTGGAATATTTATAAAGTGTAATTAAAATTACAATATGAAGATATATTAAAGATACAAATTTAGTGAACATAAAAAATGAAATTATTTAAAAAAAATTAAAAAAAAAATTAAAAAATTAAAATTTTTTAAATTATTATAACGGTAAAAAAAATAAAATAAAAAAATTAAATATACAATTAACACAACAACTAATTTAATAATTTTTTTTTTTATACTTATTTTTTCCTTTTTTTTTAATAATTTTTTCATATTTAAATTTACCCCACACACTCTTTTTTTTTTTTTTTTTCAATTAAATAAATTTTTACTTGTACACACACACACAAATAAATAAATAAATAAATATAACACACCATTAATTAAAAAAAACTTTATAAAATATATTTTTTTTTTTTTTTTATCAGTATTTATTAAATTATTTTAAAATGATAATTAGACTAAAGAAAATCCTTGTTATAGTATCATTTTTAATATTTTTTTTATTTTTTACAATAAATTTTTTATTGAATACCAAACTAACGATAGACGAAAGTAATAATAATTATATTTATAATAATACAAATAATAAAAATAATACAAATAATAATAATAAAAGCAATAATATTAATAATTTAAATGTAAATAAAAAATATATTCTATATAATCATAAACCTTTAAATAAAAGTAATATATTACTTCGAGAATGCGAACATGTCGATCTAGTATACACCTGGGTAAATGGTAGTGACCCCAACCATATTGAGACACGATTAAAATATTTTAAAAATTTAGAAGATAAAATACAAAATGAAGAAGATGAAAGTAATTATGATTCAGCTAGATATAGAGATTATGGAAGTTTAAAATACTCTTTAAGAAGTGTCAAAAAGAATGCCCCATGGATCAAAAACATATATATAATTACAGCAAATCAAATTCCATCTTGGTTTAATACTTCTAATAATGGAAATATTAAATTTATATTTCATGATCAATATTTCCCCAAAAAGTAAGTTATAATTATAACTTTATAGTTTTTTTTAATAATCTATAAATTGTGATATTAATGTTTTATTTTAGATCTCATTTACCTACATTTAATTCAAATTCAATAGAATCAAATTTTTGGAATTTACCTGAAGAGGTTTCAAACTGTTTTTTGTATAGTAACGATGATTTATTTTTTAGGGAAAAGGTTATGGTCGGAGATTTTTTTGATAAAGAGTTTAATCAGTTTTTATTTCAGACAAATGAAAAGATATCAAGTTTTTCTCCAATGGATACCATTCATTATGACGATTGGACCAAATCATTAATAATTTCAAACAAAATTCTAGATAAATATTGGGGTTTGGCCAAAAGAAACAATGCTCAACATGGTGTTCAAGTTTTTAATAGAAAAATATGGCTGATAATGAATCAAGAAATATCAAAAGAGTTAGAAATAACTTCATCTAATAAATTTAGAAATATATCAGATATTCAAATTCCATTTATTTATAACCAATTCACCAAAAGATATTCAAAATACTATGTAAAACCAGCCAATAATATGTATTTTGGATTAAATGAAAATAATATTGATCAAGTTTTAAAAGATGCCTTAGAAAATGTGCAAGGTTATAAAACAATTTGTTTAAATGATTTACTAGCACCAAACTCTGTAAATAATAGTAAAATATTTAAAAAGATAAATCAATTTTATGAATCGTTATATCCAGATTCAGCTCCATGGGAAAATAAATAAACAATCAAATAAATAGAAACATAAATAAATAATAATCAAATAAATAGAAGTAAATTAAATTGTGGAAATAGGTTTACTTTATAACAATTGTAAAAAAATAAAAAAAATAAAAAAAATAAATTACATTTATATTTTATTTAAATATTAGTCCCAATTAAAAACCAATAGTTTAAATTATTTAGGAAGAAAATATTGGGTAATTTTAGATTGGTTATCATTATTATTGTTATTATTATTGTTGTTATTGCTGTTGTTATCATTTATTTTTGGTAAAAAATATTGTGTTATAGTGTTTTTTTGCATATTATTGTTATTATTCATACTATAACTAATATTTGGTACTCTATTTTGAAAATTATTAAAACTAAAGCCTTGATTTATATTAAAGTTGTTATTCATATTTGGCATTGGTCTATTTTGTTGATATACTAGATTATGATTATATTGATGATAATGTTGATGTTGTTGTTGTTGATGTTGTTGTTGTTGTTGTTGTTGTTGTTGTTGCTGCTGCTGTTGATATTGTTGAAATTGCTGATATTGTTGATATTGCTGATATTGGTTTATATTGTTATTAAAATGATTGGTATTTAGACTATCATTGTTTTGATTGTTTTGATTATTTTGATTATTTTGATCATTAATAGATTTTCTATTTTTAACAAAATCATAAAAATTTGGATTAATATTTTTTGAATAATTGGCATTAATTTGAATTGTGGAATTTTGACCTGATGGCTGTTGATCCTGTTTTTGTTTTTGTTTTCCTTTTTTTTCTTTTTTAGTTGGGTTTTTCTTTTGTTTTTTTAAATTGCTTTTATATTCATCTTCATCTTCGGTGCCTTCATCATCTTCATTGTTATTATTATTATTGTTATTATTATTATTATTATTATTATCGCCAAAAGAAACTTTTAATTCTGGATCATCACCAATAAGATCGAAAATAACCTCATCTGAATTTTCCTCTTTTTCTAAATCTATAGCCCCATCTTTACCAACAAAATATCTATCAATTGTATTACCACCGATTTTTGATCGAACATCAATATCTCTTGTTCGAAGGATTTCTTCTTGACCATCTAATGTTTCACCCAAGACTTCAAGCTTATTACAAATAATTGGCCAAATACGATCATCGAGCGTATTTTTTCCAATTAGATAATGAATGTAGACATCTTTAGTTTGACCAATACGATGAACTCTATCCTCTGCTTGACGCAATACGCCCGGTGTCCAATAGAGCTCGACAAACACAACCAAGTTGGAGGCAGTTAAAGTGAGACCTGTTCCTGCAGCGGTGATACTAAGCAAAGCAACCTGACATGATGAATTAGTTTGAAATTTATTTACATAAGTTTGTCTAAGGACTGCAGGAGTTGACCCATCGATTCTAATATAACCAGCCTTTGACTTTTGAATAGCGCTTTCTAATCCATCCATGATATCGCTGTGGTGAGCAAAAATTAAAAACTTTTCCTTCTCTTTAATAAGTTTAGAAATGTATTCACAAGATGATTTCAATTTTGCTTTACCAGTTTCACGATACAACTCCATAATTTGACCTTTAACTAAACCATTGGACTCGTCTTGGTTTTGTTTAAATTGTTGAAACATTGAAATTTTATTTGATTTACTAAAAACGTTACCCAGAGTTGACTGCATTTGGGTTGGTGTGTCCACTACCACTTTAATACGATGTTTTGGTGGTAAATCATGAAGCACATCAACTTTTAACCTTCTAATCATTATACCACGCAATAGAACATGGAGTTCTTGCAAATGACCATTTCCTGTATAGTCCATACCATATCTACCTTTGTGAGCATCGCAATATCTTAAACCAAAATCAAGTTGCTTTTGATAAATTGGTGCACCCAATGCAAGTAATTGTGGAAACAATTCAATTGGACGTGATAACGCCGGTGTACCTGTTAATAATATTCTTTTAGATGCTGTTTGAATTAATTGCAGCATTTTCTTTGTTCTATTTGCCTGAATACTCTTTATATAATGGCTTTCATCACAAATAATTGTTTTAAACTTCTTTGGTAATAATTCTTTTTCAAGCAATCTTGATACCAGATCATATGATATAATATTAACGATTGAATCTGCTTTATCCTCGCCTGTCATAATAACACTAATATTACCGGCAATCTCCGGGAAATATTTTTCAACTTCTTTTGACCAACCTAATCTTAAAGAGCTTGGGCATACAACTATATAATTATAAGTTTTAGTATTAAATATTTTTAGTTTACAGTTTATTGATATAAGACTACTTACTTAAAAGTGGCCATTCGCTTTTATAATATGATGCAATTGCTAAAGCTTGAATAGTTTTACCTAAACCCATTTCGTCGCCAACCAGGCACCTACCATTAAGCTCCTGTGTACAAAATATTAATGATTTTAATTGAAATGGTAGTAGGGTTGAAAATAAATTAATGGGTACCCTGGTGCAATCAAATAGTTCCTCTTGGTGTATTTGTTGTTTTGGTAATCTTTTTTTTTCTATATACCATGGATTAGACAAATAATGGAAAACTTCATTTGGTACTTCAATAATTTGGATTCTGCATTGATGTTGATTTTTTAATATATTTAATTGCTTTACCATATTTTGATAACAATAGATATGAAACTTCCATGTTTCCTCTTTTGAGTTTCTTTCACCTTTAAATTGCTTAAATACATTTATAGCTGACTCGGTTTCTTGTAATAGTGGCACTGGATGGGTTGTACCAAATTTATCCCTATCTACCAATTGAAAATCTATTATAACTTGCTGAGCACTATTCCTTTTTGGTTTAACTGAACTTTTTGGATTATTGACATTATCCCATTTTAATTCTAAATCGATTGGCTCTACTCTAAAACTTGCTTGTTTATTATTGTTGTTGCTGTCATTACCATTATTTTCTTCATCTGAAATGTCTATAATATCGGTTTCAAATTTTAATCTAGTTTTCTTTAAGGTTGGTCCTGGATTTTGTTTTGGCAAAGGTTTTGAAATTTTAATAAGTGATAACCCTCTTTTTGAAGTATTATGTTGAATTTTATCTTCATCATCATCATCATCATCTATAGGTATACAATCGGTATTTATAGCTTGTTTTTCTTTTGATTTTTGTTGCTGCTGTTGCTGTTTCGTATCTTGCAAGATTCTTTGATGTTCAAGTAATTTAATCTCTCTTTCTTTTTTACTTTTTTCATATAAATCTGCATATGGGTCATCTTCAATCAAACTATCGAAATCTAAATCTAATCCAGGTTTTGTCATTGGGTTTGAAATTTTAGATTTATCATTTTCATTTCTATTATGACTATTACTATTTACATTATTATTTACATTATTATGGTGATTATCTTTACTAATTGGAGCTTCGAATTCTAATCTTTTACTTAAAAAACTTTTGTTTTTAAAATGATCCACACCTTCTTGAGAATTAACTATATCATCAACACTAGGATCTTCTTTCAATATATTATTATTGTTATTATAATTATGGTTAATATTGTTGCTATTGTTATTATTAAATATATGGAAATGATCTGTTGCTTTGTTTGTAACGTTTACATGATCATTTTTAATTTCCTTATTTACGCCGTTCAATGGTTTCCCTTTTGTATTTTCATCTGAAAAAATTTCATCCTCATCAAAGATTGATATTAAATTATTTTTTTTATTTTTTTGTTGTGTATCATTATTTGTTGATGGAGGTATATTATTATTATTATTATTATTATTATTATTATTATTATTATTATTATTATTATTGCTTTGATTAAGTCGTTGTAGATTTTTTTGTTGTGGAATGTGATATTGAAATGAAGGTTTTTTTGTTGGGGAATTTACAATATTTGGTTTTTGTGGCGAAATTTTAATATTTTGTGGCTGTTGTTGTGGTTGTTTTTGGGGAGAGGTTTTAAAAGCATTGTTATGTTGTGGTGGTATGTGTAACTGTATTTGTGGCTGTGGCTGTGGCTGTTGTTGTTGTTGATATTGTTGTTGTTGTTTTTGTGGAGAGGTTTTAAAAATATTATTATTTTGCTGCAGAGATTGTTGTGGTAGTTGAGGATGCTGTTGTTGCTGTTGCTGTTGTCTTTGAAGCAGCTTTTGATTTATTATATCTTGTTCACTATCAAACCACTTTAAAAAATTACAATTTTGTTCGAAACATTTTATAAGAATTTTACCAGGACCTTTAACTACTGGAATTCTTCTACAGACTGAAAGATGAATTGGGCATTTAATTTTAGTTTTTGGCTTTGCTGTAATTGCTGGAGGTGATACTGTATTTGTTGTTGAGGTTATTTTTGGTGATATATTATTGTTTTTATTTAATTCCTCAGTTCCTGTTGTGTTAATGTTTGAAACTAATGTTTCTGAATTTAATATAGATGACATTGATTTTCATAATTTATAATAATTTTAATATGTATTAATGAAAAAGAAATAACAAACTACTATATTTCTTTATACATATATAAAGTGTATACAGGATTTTAAAAAACGAATTTAATTAATGAAAAATAATAAAAAAAATTTTTAAAACAATAAAAAAACAATTCAAATTTTAAAAAATAAAAAATAAAATTTTAAATTAAAAAAATAAAAAAAAAAATAAAATTTTTTTTTTTTAATAATCTATTTTCCAAGTATAAATGTATTTAATATCTATTTTAGTTTTGTGATTATTAATAAACCCTTTTTTTAAATCTTTAAGATTTTTATTAAAATAAAAAAAAAAAAAATATTTATAGTTTTTAAAAAAGTTTAAATTTATAAGTGATGTTTTTACAAATTTAAAATTGCTTTTGATTATTTTATCGATCTAGTTTGATTTTAAAATTTCTTCGGAAGTGGTAATTCTGGCACCATAAATATCTTTTAAGTATTTGAGAGCTTCGGTATTATCAGCTTCGGTACCCTTGTAAAGACAAACACAATCTGATGGGACAGTGATAATGTAATTACGCATGAATGAGTTGTATGAGGTATGTCTAATACAACAGTTTGTGTGTTGGCCAGTGATTACTATTTTTAAAAAAGATTTGATAATATTAGTGCAAGTTTTTTTTTTTTAATTATTGGGGGGAAAAATCGAAATAAACAAAAAATATAAAAAAAAATAAAAATACACACCAACTTCGTCAACTTTATCAAATTTTTTCAATTCTTCGTCGAGATTGGTTTGGTCGAAAGCACCATAAAATTTTTTTGGTGAAATAATTTCTCTGTTGAGACCAGTTGGTTTTAAAGCTTCGATAACTTCAGCACCTTTGGTACCTTCCATGGCATGTGGTCCCCATACTTCCATTTCTCTATCTTTTTCTGTATGTAAATCGTTGGCATATACAATTAACCAATCTGGATTATTTCTTGCATGTTCGAGTAATTGTTGAATTTTTGGAATGATTTTATTTGCATTTTCTTGATTTGCAATGGCACCATCAACAAAATCGTTTAACATATCTACCATAATTAAAGCCTTCATTTTTTAAATTATTTATTTATTATATATATTTTTATATATATGAACAAGTATACTATTTATATTTTAAAAAAGGTGATGGAAAAAATTTAAATTTTAAAAAAAAAAAAAATCAAAAAAAAAAAAAAAAAAAAATATTCAAAATTTTTTTTTTGTAAAACCCGTTTAATGATTTTCAAATAATTTTTAAATCTTTAAATTAATTAATTATAATATTTATTTGTATAATTTAATTTTATTAAAAAGTCAACTTTATAAGGATATTTAGGAAAATAATTAGGAAAATTATAATTGTTTAAACAATTTATCTTTTTTTTTAATGTTTTTTGTTTTTTTTCCAATAAATTCTATACATTTTCATTTATTATTGTAATTCCATAATTTATTTCAATTTTTATTTTATATAATAAACAATTAAATAAATTTGAAAAAAAAAAATATTTTAATTTTTTCAAAAAAAATTAATTTTTAAAAAAATTTTTATTATTTTTTAAAAAAAATTTTTTTATTTTTTTTATTTAAAATTTTAAATAGTTAATGTAAAAATTCATTTCAGATTAGTTTAATGAAAAAAAGCCGAAATAGAAAAGATAACAATACACAATAACAACCACCATTAAACTTAAAAATACTGATAGAACTACATAAATACCAACATAATAAATAAAATAATATATAAATGGCAACAGATACAGTATCGGCTTCAGAAGATATTGAAACTATAGAAAGAAAAGAAGAAAAAAAACTAACATATGACCAAATTTTAGAACAATTTTATAAACATATTTTAACATGGAATGCAGCAGATTTACAGCCCAAGGTAAGTAAACTATAGTTCAACAAACTGCTTTTTAAATAAATATTAATGTTTTTTTTTTTTTTTTATATAATACATTAGAGAAAAGAATTAAAAAAAGTTAAAGTATCATTTGATGACGAAAAAGATTATGTATCAACATTTGAACCATTGTTATTTGAAGAATGTAGAGCACAACTTGAAAGATCAATTGAAGAAGGTGAAAAAGATGACACATCGGAACCATGTTTATCTAGAGTACGTTATATTTCAGAAGCAAATGATTTTTTAATTGTTGGTTTAGTAATGTCAGAGGGTGTTAATGTGTTTCAATTTCATGACAACGATTTAATTATGATATCACTCCATCACCCATTAGTAGTATTTGGAATGGATGAAAATGAAGAAATTACCGACGATGAAGATACAGCAGCTACATCCGCTGCAACCCATGTCCCAGCAGATTCAATCAAAACAACTACAGCATCAGAAGATATAGATGATCCAAATAAAACAATTGAGGATGCAGAAAGAAAGAAGAAAAAAGTTATTCCACCATCAAAAACACCGATTACAGATCAAAATAGAACATTACATTTAATTGGCACAGTTGAACATTTAGAAAATGGCGGTATTAAAGCTAAATTTTATCTTAAAGGAATTAAAAGTGAAAGAGCTAGACAATGTGGTTTACTTCTTCGTTATGAAATTGACTGGTGGACTACTAAACTTTGTAATCTTTCAACTTTACAAAGAGAATATGTAGCACTTTATTCAACTTCACAATCTGGCTTTATGAAAACATTACTTTTAAGAGATGAAGACGATAATCAAGGTATAGTTATGAAAATTCCACCACTTTTACATCAACAGTTTGAAACCAGTTTTAATCATTCACAATTAGGTGCACTAACATCAGCACTCGAAGGTAACAATATTACATTGATTCAAGGTCCACCAGGAACAGGTAAAACCCATTTAATTATTGGTTTAATTAGTGTTTTACTTCACAGTACTATTGTACCAAAAAATCCACCACAAGAAAGAATCGATTTTTCAATTCGTGAAGAATTAACAACCGAAGAAAAGAAAGACGATTGGAATATTTCACAGCCATGGTTTAACAAAGGATTCTTTCATATTAGAGACAACTTTGAATTGATCGATTATGATTTTGAAGAGCGTGACCAAAAAAGAAAGAGAGATCTTTGGAGAAAACTTAGAGATACAGGTTCTGTTAAAGGTCTACAAAAGAAAAGAAGAATTTTATTGTGTGCACCAAGTAATGGTGCTGTTGATGAAATCGTTTCACGTCTTTTACGTGACGGTCTTTTAAATGCTGAAGGTAAAAAATACAATCCAAATTTAGTTCGTGTAGGTCCAGGCTCACATGTAGATGTAGAACAGGTTTCATTAGATTTTATGGTTAGATGTCGTCAACAATTAATGAACTCAAATAGCGCAATTCCTTCATCATCTGCATCAACTGCTCAAGCTACATCAGGTTCATCAAGATCAAATCAAGATTCAAGCTCAATTAGAACAATGATATTAGATGAAGCTGATATTGTTGCAACTACTCTTTCTTTTAGTGGTTCTTCTTTATTAACTAAAATGGTAATTATTATAAAAATGATAACAATAATAATTATTAAAACTTTATTAACATTTTATAAATATTTAATTTAGATTGGAGGTTTTGATATAGTAATTATTGATGAAGCTGCTCAAGCTGTAGAAACATCAACATTAATTCCAATTCAACATCAATGTAAAAAAGTAGTATTAGTCGGTGATCCAAAGCAACTTCCAGCTACAATTATTTCACCATTAGCTATTCAACATTCATATGATCAATCATTGTTCCAACGTCTTCAAGAGAAAAATAAACCACATATGCTTGATACACAATATCGTATGCATAGTATAATTCGTAAATTCCCATCAAAACATTTTTACGACGATCTTCTTCAAGATGGTCCAAATATCCCATCAAGAGCTGCTCATTATCATTCAAATCCATTCCTTGGTCCATTAGTTTTCTATGATCTTTCATGGTCGGTTGAAACCAAGCCAGGTGGTGGTTCAGTATGCAACATGGAAGAAATTAAAATGGCATATTTCCTTTATCAACATATCATTAAAGAATACCCAGAGGAAGATTTTTCAGGTCGTATTGGTATTATTTCACCATATCGTCAACAAGTATTACAACTTCGTGAAGCCTTTAAAAACTATCCTGGTGTTTCTATTGATACCGTCGATGGTTTCCAAGGTAGAGAAAGAGAAATTATTATATTTTCATGTGTCAGAGCTCCAGCAGAAAAAGGTTCAGGTATTGGTTTCCTTTCAGATGTTCGTCGTATGAATGTAGCTTTAACTCGTCCAAGATGTTCATTAATTATAATGGGTAATGTTAAAGCTCTTAGTGTAAATAAAGATTGGAATGATTTAATCGTTCATGCTCAAGATTTAGGTTGTTTGGTTCCTGTTAAACAAGAACCATCCATCGAAGTTCTAATACCAACATTTACAAATAAAGTACTTTATGATCAATTATCTGTCGAAGGTAAAGAATTAATTATAGATGCTCCACTTACAGAAGAAGAAATGGCAAAAGTTAAGAAAACCAATGAAAAAATTAAAAAGAAACAAGCACAAAAAGCAGCAAATAAACAAAAGAAAGAAAATAATAAAAAAAGAAAGAAAAATGAATTGGATAATCAAAATAATATAGAAGAAAATAATAATAATGATAATAGTAATAGTAATCTTGAAGAAAAAGAAAAGGAGATAGAAACAACCACCACCACCACCACCACCACTTCCAACAAAAGAGGCAAAAAATAAATTAATAAATTGTATTTAAAAATTATATAAATTTGTATAATTTTTTTTTTTTAAAATAATAAATTTAACCCCTTTTTATTTTTTTAATATAAAAAGAAAGGATCAATGATCATTATTTATTTAAACCCTTTAATTTTTACCCTTTTATAAATTTTTTTTATTTTAATAAACAAATGCATTAAAAGTTGCGAAAGTGTAAAAATAGAGCAGAAAATAATTAAAAAAATATATTTTTTTTATAAAAAATAAGTGGAAAAAATCATAAGATATTGTGATTTTTCAATTAAATTAAAAAAAAAACATCACACAATACACAATATATATCGTTGTAAAATTATCATCATAACCATGTTGTAGATTGAGAAAGTTGGTTACTAATTATAAAAACAATAATTGTTCACAAAGCGAACTTGTGTGGTTAAATTAATTATATTGTGCGGGTAGGGTGAAAAAAAAAAAAATTTTAAAAAAAAAAGTAAATTGAGGTTATTTTTATAATCTGATGTTATTTATGAAAATCATCCAACCTCCTACAATATCCCAAATTAAATCAAACACACAGTGCACATTTAATATCAAACACACATTCTTAATTTTGTTTTTTTTTAAATATTCTTTTATTTTCAAGTTTTAATAATATATTTTATAAATTGATGGTTTATTTTATTTTATTTTGAAAACAAAAGAAATCTCCACTGTTCTAAACAATGAAAAAATCTAAAAAAAAAAAAAATAATAATACAAAGAAAAACTTTTTTTAATTTTTAATTTTTTTTTTAAAATTTTATTTTCTTTATAATTTTTTATTATTATTTTTTTCTTTTTTTCTTTTTTCCTTTCCTTTTTTTTCTCATATAGGCATTCAAGTTGAAAAAGAAGTCAGATAAAAAATAAAGAATAAACCCATCCTATAAAATAAAAAAAAAGGTTTTAAAAAATTCCTTTTTTTTTATTTTTTTTTTTTTTTGGTAAGTTAATTTTTCAATTTTTTTTTTTTTTTTTTTTTTTTTTTTTTGTTTAGATTTTATCATATACATATTTAAAATTGGATTATGTATGTATAAGAGAGGGTTTTTGTTTTTATTTTTATTTTTTTTAAAATAATCACTATTATATTAAATGTGTGTGTGTAGTGCGTGGTGTGTGGTGGATTTCTATCTTCTTTTTAAAGCCTTTGCTTATGGATGATGGTGATGGTGATGTTGTGGTGTGATCAACAAAAAAAATTAAAATTAAATAAAAGAAAAGAAAAAATAATTTATAATTATCACTTTGGTGGTTTCAGTTACTTTTTCTCTTTTTTTTTATACTTTTTTTTTTATTTTTTTATAATAAATTTAATTGTTTATTTTAAATTATATTATTTTAAAAAGGAAAATTTTTATCATACTCCAATTCATCATTTTCAAACAAACAAAAAAATTATTATTAATAAATATTATCAAAAAAAATTTTAAAAAATAATTATTTTTTATTTTTTATTAAATTAAAAAATTTTTATTTTTTTTTTTCAGATTATTTTTTATTTTAATAATATTTTATAAATTAAAGATCAAGTTCACATCATATTATTATCAATATTTATCTATATTTATATATATTTATATATTTATATAAATTTACATAAATAACATTATTAAATATACCTCAATAAATACAAACATATTTCCATTCTTACACATCTCCCCCTATATAGTAATATTTTTTTTTTTACCCATTTTTTTTTTTTTTTTTTTTTTTTTTTTTTTTTTTATATAAAATAAGAGAAGAGTTTTTAAATCAAAAGGTATTATGATTACATTAATTTAAATTTTATTTATGCTCGGTTTATATTCTTAGAATGTTTTTAGTTAATATGACCAATGGCTGGTTTATTTTTTTTTTTTATTTTTTTTTCTGGTAGATAATAATGTTTGT